CCCCCCACACACACAAACACACCACCACAATCACTACCCCAGGGTAAACTTCCCAGACACTTCATCAGGTACAGGTGAAATCAGAAATTCCGTGTTTTGTGTTGCTAAGAGACTGTGCGCGTGTACCTAATGAAGTGGCCGGCTGGTCGAGCTTTTGCTCATCATCATCATCATCATCAAGCGCTTATCTCCTGTGGTTCACCACCCCAAGCCCCCCACACACACAAACACACCACCACAATCACTACCCCAGGGTAAACTTCCCAGACACTTCATCAGGTACAGGTGAAATCAGAAATTCCGTGTTTTGTGTTGCTAAGAGACTGTGCGCGTGTACCTAATGAAGTGGCCGGCTGGTCGAGCTTTTGCTCATCATCATCATCATCATCAAGCGCTTATCTCCTGTGGTTCACCAACCACATTACATACACTCGTTTGTAAATGTAGACGTGTGATTATGCTATGTTGTTTGCTCTCTTTTAAGCATCTTTTCTTTCTTTAATATGTACAGTCCAGTCGGTTTGCTTTTACGAGTTCTGGCTAGGCAAAGTTCAAGAAATGTCGAGCTTTGGCTGGATAAAGTTCAGATAGTCGAGCTTTAGCCGGATAAAGTTCGGCATGCCGAGTTTGTCGAGATTAAATTTGAAGCCGTTGAGCATTGGCTAGCTAAAGTTTGTAGATGTCAAGCTTTAGCTAGCTAAAATTCAAGGACGTTGAATTTTGGCTAGATGCTAAAGGTACAGTAGTTCCGATATGTTGAGCTCTGGCTTGATCAAATTCGGCAATGTCAAATTGTGGCTTGGGAAAGTTTCAGTACGTCGAGCTTTGGCTTGCGAAAGTTGGGATCTGCCAAGTTTTAGCTAGCTCAACTTTCGAGATGTTGAATTTTGGCTCGATAAACTTTGAGGACGTCGAGCTCTGGCTCAATAAAGTGTTGTTATTTTAAGCTTTGACGAAATAAAGTTTAGATGGTCAAACTTCGGCTGGATAAAGATGAGATGTCCAGCTTTGGCTAACTATTCAGATATGTTTCAAATGACGCCAAGCTTCGGCCAGAGAACATTGAAATAAGTCGCGCTTTAGCAAGGCAAAGGTCAGACGTGTCAAGCTTGGAGTCGAAAAAGATCCGATATATGGAGTTTTGACAAGATATCGTTTGGACGTTTCGCGCTTCCTCGAGGTCGCGTCGGGCCGCGTGGACCTTTTGGCCAGATCAAATTTGAATTTGTTCAGTTTCGGCGAAGACAAAGTGTAGCTACGTTGAGATTTGGCGATATCAAGTTCCGATATGCTGAGCGTTGTCTGGAAAGAGATCAGATATGTCCAAGTTTTGGCTCGATCAAGTTCACGTCTGCGCCGCTCGCGGCAAAAACCACACGGAGCCTTACCTCAGACGAAAAAGCCGTGACGAGGGATTTCCAGATGTGACAAAATTCCCTCGTGTGAAGACGCAATGACCAAAACGCTTCAATTGCCGCCGCTTAATGAACTTTCAAATCACACGAACCTCATAGGGGATTTTTTTTTTTCTTCCAATGTTGCTCCGTGGCGGCCCAACGTGTTCAAACCTGCCAAAGTTGCCGTTTCTTTTTTTTTTGGAGCAGGGAGCATGTTTGGGTGGGGTAGGGGTTGGAGAGGGAGGGAGGGGGGAAGGGGGGGTTGGTCGCCTCACATTACCTCACAGAGACGAGACGTCTCCTCTTAGCTTCGCATGCAGTAAACATCACACCTTGTTTTGTTTTGTTTTTTTTTTTGATAGCGACTTTATGACTGAAACGACAGCACTACACCTTGTACGAAGAAACAAACAAACAAACAAAATCTATTTTTGTAAATTATAGTTTGGAAATATTTATGCTATTTATGCAGACAGGCCTTGTTTTTCTTTTTTTTTTTTTTCCTACTCTAGTTTGATAACAGCAGATGTGTGCATGACGTCTTGGGTTTGATGAACAGATCTTATTTTCTGTATATG